GAGAGAGACCTTGGTTACATATCAGCCGTTGAGTTGACTCTGACACCTGGTGACTTTATGTATAAACAGAAGGCAACACTGCCTGATTCTGTACCGTCTCCACAGTTGTTGAGATGCTGAGTCCATTGTAGCCACTGTATCAATCTTGCTGACCCTCTGTTTTATGAACTTTGATGTCTTTTTATTGATTGGTCTTTCCTGATTACATGGGACGTGGAGCAGGACACATACTGATGTCATGGTCACACAGATGCATAGCTGTCTCCCTTGGTTTGGCAACGCCTGCATACAGGAACTCTTACTTACCTTTTGAAGGTCTCTCATCAGAAGCAGATTGTAAACGGTGTATCGAGGCATGCAAGTGATTGTTTGTGGCCACGAATATTAGGTCAGATCCCTTGGTGGCCTTTCCTTAGACAACTGCTCTCTATTTCTCCACCAAAATGAGCTTGGCACCTCCACCACGATGTCTGCCTTGTTCCTTCACAGGAGGGAGCGAAGGAGTTCGCGGCTGCCCTCACGGCTGAGCGGATCAAGACCCCCCCAAAACGGCCCGGGGGCCGCAGGAGGGGCCGATTGCCTAACAACAGCAGCCGGCCCAGCACCCCCACCACCAATGTGCTGGAGTCAAAGGACACAGACAGCGATCGGGAGGCTGGGGCGGACACGGGCGGGGAGAACAACGACAAGGAGGAGGAGGAGAAGAAGGATGAGACGTCTAGCTCTTCGGGTGAGCGGCTGGCGGCTGCTCTGCGGCCCCACGGCTGGCGGGGGCTGCAGCTCCAGGAGGCTGGCTTGGGCATGTTGCCGAGCCAGGGCTGGCTTTGGATGGCCCTGTCGACGCCTGCTCCTTGTGCCGCCTCGGCCCGCGCTCTGCTGACCTGCTGTCGGGCCTCTTCCCTCGCTTTAATGTTTGGATGGTCCTGGAACCAGGTGTGCTTGGGAGAGAGCTGGTCGGACTTGGGGTCATTATGCAGATTGGTGCTTACTGGCCTGTGATGCACCCTGGACATAGCCCATCCATACCCCTGGGAAGCTCATGCTCACGTGTCAGAGCCTGGTGAGAGCTGGGCCTGTGGATACCACTTGGGGGCACTGATGGAGCCCTAGTCCCTCCCAGCGATGATGCACTCTGGCCGATGATGCACTCTGGCCGGCCTCCCTCCCTCTCTCCCTTCCTCCCTTCCTCCCTCTCTCTCCCTCCCTTTCCTTCTCCCTCCCTCTCTCCCCCTCCCTTTCCTTCTCCCTCCCTCCCTTTCCTTCTCCCTCCCTCTCTCTCCCTCCC